TATACAAAAAAAGATAGTTGTAAACACATAATTTTATCCTAAACAATTTGACACCATTGATCTGGGTTCGTTGTTGTAATGGGCCAAGACCATTATTTTTTTGACCTATTACACAATCTATTTTAAAAATCTCATCAAATGACCCATTTTTTAGCCTACTTAAGAGCCCAAGTTGACCATCCAACTTGACTCAAAACTAGAGAATGAGGACCATGACTGATAAAAAGGAATAACCCAATTAAGGCTTATTTGCAACCCAAATATAAGAGCCCAAATGAAGCCCAATACGTGGCCCATTATGAAGCCCATAACATTACCCAATTAAAAGTTTGTTACACAACCCATAATGTAGCCTAATTAAAAGTCCCACTTCAAGCCTACTTTGTGGCCATTTTGAGGCCAGTTTACAGCTTATTCCATGGCCTATTTAGAAGTATAGAAAAAAATCAAGCTTGTGTTAATACCTAAAGCATGGCCCAAACATAAGCCCAAAACAATAAAAGAAAAAAGAAAATAACAGGCCTTTGGTACACGACCAAATGTAGCCTAAATGATGAAGGCTTAAAACAAAAGAAAAAGATGGCTTGTAATGTGTGAGAGTCATGTAAAGCATGTATGAAGGCATGCTTAAGGGGGACAATCAATGAAATAAAAGCTAAAAAAGCTACAAAAAAAAAAAAAAGAAAAAAGCCAGAAAATGACAGTGGAATGGAAGAGAAAAAAAAATTTGGTAAGAAAGGTTAAGGAAGATATCAGGCAATATAAAGAAAAAGAGCCTAAAAAAAAAATAAAAGGAAACTTATCAGAAGAAAAAATGTCTAAGAGTTAAAAGAGGAAAAAAAACATGAAATAGAAGAAAGAAAACTTATCGTAAAAGAAAGAAAAGCTATTGCTTTTAGAGGGTAAACATAATAAAAGTAGTCTTTTTACTCAGTATTCTAGTTACTTTTATGCATGTGATGATGTCCATGTTTTCCTTACAGGGTTTGGAGTATAAAGCAATCATCTTGTATTTCATACAAAGTTAACAGTAAGAAATAAGGTTAAATGTTTCTTATTTAAGGTTTGTGGGGCTTGCCTTATGAAGAAGAAGGGTTAAAAGAGCATGCTTGTTGAATTAAAATGATAAGACCTTTCTTTAAAAAAAAAAAACTTAAGATGGCTCATTAAGCTATTGTTTCTTTTTTATCTGAACTAGGAACTTCAAACTCTATTTTTGAATGATGGTTATTAGCTTTGAAATAAAAAAAAAAAAGCCTCATTTTTTTGCCAAAAAAAAAACTTGAAAACTTTCAAATCATATGATCTTGGCATTATTCAGTGAAAGGAACCAATTTTTAAAAATGGCTTACAAAACAAGAAAAGAAGTTAGTCAACATAAGGAATAAAAGGCTTAAAGTTTTTCATTTTTTTGTTCTTGCTTCATGTTTTCGCATGAAGTTTGCGTGTAAAAGCCCAAAGCTTCAACATTTTCATAACATTTGGAAGGCTTAAGCATCATGGTTTTATCTACCTATCCATGAATGCCCCTAACTTGGTTTTGAAGCATCATATTCTATTTTCTGTGAAAAAAAAAAAAAACTAGTTTAGGAATAAGTAGGGCTTTAATTTTTTTCTGACTTTTTATTCATCAAAGCTTTCTCTTTTGGCCATTACTCCCTGGTTATCACAAAAAAGATCATTTCCTTTGTTTGCAATCAAAAACTATTTGAAAATCATGAAAGAAGTCATTTTTCTTCGGCAAAAAATAAAGTCTTTTAAACAAAGCATAGTAGGCTATAAATACAAATGGTTTAAAGTCTAGGTCTTCTTCTGTTGCCTGCTATTTCTATGTGAAGATTAAACCTTTTAAACTTCAACCTTTGTATGTTTTGATTTCCTGCATACCTTTTTTTTGCATGAAGTTAGTTGGCTAGAACTTAAAGCTCCCTCAGTTGCATACTTTGTTTGCATGAAGTTCATGCTTTGCATTGGATTTGCTATGCTTTTCCTTTTTCTTTTTCTTTTCCTTTGCATTGGCTTAATATATCAAGGTTGCATGGAGTCTAGAAATTTCAGTAAAGCTTGTGTTTGCTGTCGGTTTCTGTAATAGCATGAATCTGTGTTAAAAATGTAAAGCTTGAGTTTTCTATGATGCCCAAGAACTGGTCTTAAAGTTTCTATTCTGGCTTGAATGGTTTTTGGTTCAAGACTTAGGTTAGGTTTCTTTCTGCATGAAAGTTTAAGGCTCTCATAATGAAATCTAATTGTCTTTCAAATCATAAAACTAATGGACAACTTCTGTGCTAAAAAAACAAAGAAATGATGTTCTAAAAATAGAGGATGACATCTTTTAAAAAATATTTAAAAATAAATAAAATTAAAATCTTAAATTAATTAAAAATAAAAAATTTTAAATAAAGTTTAAACAAAAAAAGAGAGCCTTAGGTATTATGATTTTTTTTAATAGTGTGTTGCATGCATTATTGTTTTTGTCATTATTATCTAATTGTCTTTAATTACGTTTGCTTTTACTGGTTTAGAACATTAGCATTATAATTCACATGCATATGACACCTTTAACTATATTATGCATTCATTAGTAAAAAAAGAAAAAAAAGACAATATAATAATAATAATAATAATAATAATAATAATAATAATAAAAATCCAATTTTAGAAAAGTCATGAAAAATGAGTTTACTCTAAAAGTCCATTTAGATATTGAGGACTTTTAGAGAAGTTTGCCAAAATACAAAACCCCAAAATCCTAAAACTTTGAAACAAAACCCTAAATCCTAAAAACCCACCAAAACCTTAATCTTGAAACCTAAATCCAACCCACAACCCCAACTTTGACCTATGCTAACTATCGTAAAATTCTAAGGGTTCATTTGAAAATCTCATATAAAATAATCTATTCTCGCATGTCACCTAAAAGATGGGATGTGTAGGAAATTTTATTTCATTAAATTTGTCATACAATTCTTTAACCACAATAATAATAAAATTAGACAAAAATAAAAATAAAAATAAAATCTTAAATACAAATAGTCGCACTTAAATTCTACCTAAAAGTTGGAGAGTCCAAGTGATCTTTCATATTTAAGGACCCGATTTCAAAATTGTATCTCATCATTATGCATAATACACATTCATATCTCTTTATTTTTAGATTGTAGCTTACATTCATTCCACATACTCATATCTTTTAATTATTATTATTTATCAGTTAATTGTAGCATTATCGATTTTTCACTTAAAATGTTTTTTTTTTTTGGAAAATGTTATTTAAAAATATAGAATTTGAAATAAAACTAAAATAACATTTCGAATAAAATAATTCTTTATATTCTGCCTAGATGTTGAAAAGTCATCAACAATTATCATCTGCAAATAATGTTATTTTCATTTTCAAAAAATATCGTGATAAATCTGAGATGAAAAGAATTATCTTTAAATTCTATCTAAATATTGAAAACTTTTAAAGTAATTTAACTTAAAAATTTTCACAATATTCTTAAGTTAAGATTTTTAACAAAATTGATTTTTTTTAAGTAAAAAGAATTATTATTAAATTTCGAATTGAAACATTTTTATCCAAAACCAAAGATAATGCATGAAAAATTTGTATTATTTTTAAACTAGCATTGTGAAGGTATTAATCTTTTTCTATGCGTAACTGTACTCCCAAATCTGGCTCAACTTTCAAAGGCTAAAAACATATTTTTTTTGATAGACCTTAAATTCATTTTTTATTTTATTAAAAAAATAACTTTTTTAAAGTGACCAATAACATTTAACAAAAAATAATAATAATAATACCGATTCCTCTTATTTTCTTTAATTTCTAATTTTTTTATGTCCTACGATCGGATTTATAGACCGGCAAGTTGCGACATAGGTAAAGCCACTGAAATTGAGATCAAACACTGCAGGAATTCATAAGAAAAAAGTTGTTTGGCTGATGGTCTTTTTTTTTTTTTTACCTTATTGCGTAACTCTTCCATTCGTTCCAACAACAACTGCGTCTGCATTTTATAATAATCAAGAAATTAAAATTTCAATGTTATGGTAACAGCAAAGAGTATGTGCATGCACAATTAGCAACTGGGATTTCCATGGCAATGAGATAAGTAAGATAACTTCATAAATACAGTTTTGTCAGTTTTTTCAAACCGTAAGACAAAATCTTGATTATTTCGTGCTGACTCTGAGAAATGTTACTAATGAAATTGTTTGTGTCTGCAATAAAAGATCAATTGATTTTCCATTGATTTTCAGAGTTACAATTGATGTCGGTGTCAACAAATATATAGTATAAATTTTTACATAATTCTTGATATAAAATAAAAAGGGACTGCAAAAAAAGCATGCATGCCTATCAGTCAAAAGCTTTTGCACCAACAATGATAAAAAGGCTATATGTTTTCATTTGATAAAATAAAAACTTTTGGCATATAAGTTCTTCTTTGTAATATCCAATATCTGGTTTGAGATTAGGTTCATACACAACTAAACACAATCACAAGGTGTTTACTTCAACTGAACAGTAACCAAAATTGATTAGTTTTCTTAATCTATTAGCTGTTTAAACTAGAAATAAGAATTGAAAATTCCTGAATAATGGAATAACAAATTATTTTGACATATGTGCCTCCAAAAAGAATTAACTAGTGGTAGAAGGAAAACGAAATCTCCTACCATCTCAAAATAAAAATAAAAAACATGCCGCTTAAAAAGAGGAGGATATATGGGTGGACACTAATGGCAAATGAATTAACAGCAAAATTGAATTTAGAATTACTGGTTACCTTCTTCTGTCTAGCTTGTGAGAGAGCTCGGTCAAGCTGTTTCTCAATTTTATAGAGCTCCTTTACACTAAGTGGCTCAAGCTCTTCTCCAAGAAGATGCCTTCAGAAACACATTATCGTCCGATAATCAGTGTGCATTCAGATAATTAATACATAGAAAGGCTTTAAATATAAATGTAAATCAACGCATTGATTTGTCCAAGTAAGTCAAATGTAAAATTGCCTTTGCGAACGCTCAAGAGATTCATATTCTGCCTTCAACCTCAATATCTCTTGGTACAAAGTCTGTGTTAAGCAAGAAAACAAATGTTAAAAAATGTCACAAAGACCACCTTCTGTCACTATTGGTATCAATGGTATAAATGCAACTCCAACTCTACATTTCTAGCTAATTATTTGACCTCAAAGATCTAAATTATCCAGACATTTAGTTAAGGTTTTATGGGAAAATAAAATTTACAATGCTTTCTTGATATAAAAAAAAATAAATTGAAATGTTTTCATGCTAAAATGTGTAGTAAGCATTTTTGTTGCAAATATGAGTGTTTTTCTTTGATGCATGCTGGCAAAAAGAGGTAAAAAAGAAAAGGGCAATTAATGGCTCAAGGCACAACAAAAGGAGCCATTGATCAATGCAAAATTTATTAACACAAAAAAGAAGTGGAGGAAGGTAAGAGATAATTACCTAGTCATTATATAATTTTATATATTGTGAATGTAATTTATTGTTTAATTTCATAAATGAGACTAAGAAATTGATGTACGTCTCTTTTTTTAATATATCTTGACGAGTATGTACCACAATACTTGTATAATCTAAAAATTTCATATGAATAAAATAATTTTTGGTGAATATATTGTACTTGATTTTATGCCACAACTTTGCTATAGAACTTAAAAAACCCTTTCTTTACAAGAATAAATCAGAACTTTATTAATAATGGGAGGATGGGAAACAGCAAATTAGATCCCAGTAAATTACAAACGGAATCTGTAATGAGAAGGTAGTATGAAAACTTTAAAGTATATATGAGATTGAACTTGAAAACAAATTAACCTGCGTTTCATCCTCGGGAATTTTGACTTGAGAGTTGTATCGATGCTGCCAGTATTTTTCCAGGGTTTGAGTCACACTGCTAAAGTGCGAGGAGGAAGGAAAAAAAAAGTTAACTATTGCATTTAATTAATAGATATGTTTATAATATACAAAAGAAAATAATTATTGCATATATATATATATATATATATACACACACACACACGTGCGCATGCACATACATCAAACGAGTTCATCAGTGATGACTTCAAATCAGCTAATGTTGAACTCTTTCAGCTTTCTTTCGTTGTCTCTTCAGCTTCCTCTTGGATCTTGTAGTTAAGATTTTGCTTTATTAATTTAGATTTAATTAACTTCTCAAAATTGTTTTTATGAATATTTGAGTATAATAATTTTTTGCTAGTTCAAAGTTCAAAACTTTTATTTACTGTATCTGAATAAAAATGCAAAATTATATTCATCTTGAATTTATTCTTCAAAAAATTTTCTTATAAATTAAAATGCATCCTTGCTTATAAATTGAAATTTATCTTAACTCTTCATTTAAATTTTATTAGGTAGAACCATACAAAATTTTTAACATCATGTGCTTTAAGTGATAATAACTTTGTATTGTATAAATGCCACCTAATTAATATGATTTCCATATAGAATACAGTTTCTTTAAAATCTTAGAATACGAATATATATTTGGATGTTTTCTTATTAAAAACTTAAGTTTAGATGTCAACAACCATGTGGTCCGTTGTGATGTGTTAGACTTTTAATTTCAATAATTAAAATTCAATTTTTGATCCAATTTCAAATATAAAAATAAATTTCAGGCCAAAAAACCTAGCCGAGATTATTTAAATTAAAAAAAATCATACTACTTGGACTTGATCGACAAGTGCAAGACATACATTGATACACACGAACATGCCAACAAGGCCTTGGCTTAGTGTAAATAGAAAGTCTTAGAACCTTGAAGTCCTAAGTTCTAGTCCCACTATATGTAACTTTGGTTATTTAGTTTATATTCTAATTTATGAATTGATTATTCAGTTATTATAACTTGATTATGATGTAATAGTTGATTATATAAATATAATACTTAATTATGATTATAATTTTAAAAAAATACACACAAACATTCCTGTGTATGTATATCTATACATTCATGCCTCCTGGATACATTGCAAAGGATTAAAAACTGAATAAAGTTATATTGAATTTTTTATGTAGATGGATATAAGAATACTTACATGTGATTAGATTTTTTAAAAGTAGAAGAGTGAAGAAACTTTAGTGATTGAAAGATAGGAGTAATATGGAATCACTCCAAGATATTTTCATCTTTAACAATAAAACTTTTTGGAGTCATTTGTATGAATGTTATAAAATATATATATTTTTTGTAAAAATATTATGTTGCAATAAGTGAGTAAAAGCTACATTTTGCAACAAAAATATATATAGGTTTGTTGCTACTTATTTGCAACCCCTTCAACAATTTGCATAATATTTTTTGCAACAAAACAAGTTTTATTACAAACTATTTTTTGCAGCAAAAGTGTACATAAAAATTGTTGCAAATACTTTTTTGCAACACAAGTATTTGTAACATAACGTAAAGTTTTGTTGCTAAATATCATATATCTCATTTAGTGCAAATTACAATCACGTAACAAAAATTAAGTCAAATACCATATGGAAGCATATAAGCAGGGCAGAATGAAATATAAGTTGACTAGCTTAATTTATTGAAATTATGTTTGATAAATCATTCAAAATGTTAAAATCATTGAACATGAACATTTTCAATGTGTCTGATAATCTTTTTTTTTTTTAATTTTGAGTAGAAAAATTGTTAAAAGTCTTAAGTAATTATAAACTATTTATTGAATTCAATCATTTTATTTTTAAAAAGTTTATTATTTAATTATTTTTTACTTTATATATTTTTTTAACTTCTATTGATACAAAATACTACAAAAAAATCAACAAAACATCAAATTAAATGCTTCAAGTGCCAAATAATTTTTAAAGTAATTAAAATTTTTTTAACTAAAATAAAAATTTTAATACTTAATTTTCCAATATTAATTTTTTTTATTTATTAAACAACATTGCTAATGCTGTATCTGTAAAAAGCAACACCGAATGTACATCATTTCGAGATTCCTGCTTTTCAGTTTTGGAGATGAGTTCTTTTGTTCTATTATCTCAAAATTAAAGGAAAAAAAAATTGACTTATCTTTCTTTGCTTTGCCACACCTATATGCAGAAAGAAAGCGTCCAAACAAAGCAGTTTTGAAAATTTACATTCCATAAAAACAATTGCTACTAGTATTTGAAGAAAAAAAAAACCGAAAAGGAGAATATTGAAGGGTGAAAAAGAGAAAAGAGGAAAGAAAATAAAAGCAAAGCACATCAGTTATTGGAAATTCAAAGGTCAATGCACTGACAGTTATTCACTTCGAAGATGATAGATGGAGAGGAGTGAAAGGTATTTGTTTTCGATCTCTGTGAATGAAAAGTACCCCAATATTCTCAGGGAACCGAAAAAGAAAAAAAAAAAGTTAACAATAAATTGTAGGGAGAAAATGGAACTTAGTTATCAGAGAAGCAAAAGAGATTTAGATGCAAACAGAGGCCCAAATAAAGAAAAGAAGGCTGTGGGTAATGAAGAAAAGTGAAATCCTAGAGGCAAGAATTGCTTTTAGAGCAAAAAAGACGAGTAACCAGTTCCAGTACCATGTGCAAAGTTTGAATTATAAACAAGAAAAACGAAAACAGTAGTTTTCTCCCATTAATTTTTTACAGCCTTTGAGAATTGACGGAGCTAAGATATTTAGCTTTGTACGACCGAAAAGAAAAGTGGGTCAGAAATCCTAACCACTCATGCAACTCCAAGGGCTGTCAAAATCGACTTGACAACAATCGTCTACTTAATTATAATAAGCGTTTTTGATCATCAAAGCAACAGATCAAAGGAAAGTAAAGAAAAAAAAAAGGAAACGCGTGTCGTCAAACCATTGGTTGTAATCTCCCTACAGCTAGCAGACCTGCCTTACAGCGATTTTCTCGATCACGGGTAGCAAAGAACCTCTCTCGCGTTCGCTCGTGTTAGGTATTGATGAGAGGCTATGGCTATTCAAAACGTTGAATAATTCAAACGAATTTTCGTCTTTCTCTCTCTCCCGTTTTTCTTCTTTTTCGCTTTTGATAATTAAAAGCACAAAGACGATGATGTACGCATCATTTTAAATCATTCCAGGACTTGGCAAGATTTTTTGGGTTTGATCATGATCACTCGTGGATTGTCAAAAACAAAACAAATGCAGAAATAGTAATAACCAAAAAAATTTTTTTTTATCTTACTAGAACAGTAGTTGCTTTTAAACAAGTTTTCGTTGGTGTTCTAATTAATTTTTGGCATAGAAAAAAAATGCAGAAATAACAAACAAAGAGAGAGAAATTAAGAGAGAATCTTACGTATTGCTGCCAAATTCAGAGACCTTGCCCCGGCTAGAGAAGATGATGAGAGCAACCTCAGCATCGCATAGCACCGAGAGCTCATAGGCTTTCTTCAGCAAACCATTCCTTCTCTTTGAGAAAGTTACTTGCCGATTGATTTTATTCTCTATTCTCTCCAACACCACTTTTCCTCTCCCCATCTGCGCCAAAGAACGATATTCTTCCTCCTGCTAACTATCCTTCTTCTTTGGTTTATCGTTTTTGTTTGATATTAACGATGAAAGGATATAGTGGCTAAGAGAGTGTATACGTCTCTCATGAAAAATATATACTCCCCAAATTGAAAATATGCATCTGTCCTTTTCCACAAAATATACCTTTTTTTTTTTATTGTATCTGCAAAACTAAAGTCTAAACCATAAAACTTCTATCTCATTTCATGCTTTATAATATCAACTCAATTCAATTCATTTCATTAACAAACGCTATATATAGTACGAACTTATGTTACACAGACCAAAGTATGATAGTGTTTATTTTTAGGAAAATATAAATTTAAAATGAAAAAAAAAGAGTTAATAGTTGATGTATTGTTAAATAATTATGTGATAAAATTTTATTAATGAATAAAAATAATTAAGTATTTAAAAAATAAATTATTTTTAATAATTAATTAAAATTTAAAAAAATGTTAATATTTATTTTTAAAGATCTCACTGCTTTTAATTTTATTAATTAATGAAATATGATTGTGTAGTTGATTGAAATTGTATAACATTTATAATACTTCAAATATTAACTTACAACTAAAACTGTTGAAAAAAACAACATCCACACGCAGCAATCATATACAAAACAGCAAGTTCAAATAAAAAATAAGAACACACAAATATATTTGGTTTGACCCAACTCAAAATATTCTACTTTAAACTTAATCCACTATCAAATAAATTTTTACAATTGTGAGACTTTTATAATGAGAAAAGTCTCTTAAAACTCCTTATTCAAAACTTAACCCAAAACCAATTACATCATTTTAATAGCTTACTCACTTAGCTATTCTTTTGGTGTTTATCTCTATGGGATTATCAAACTAAAACCAAAACATCTTATTTATAATGGTGAAACCCCTTATACTTTTACTAAACTTCCAATGTGGGATACTGGACAAATTCAAAACTCACTAACTTTCAATGTGGGATTATGAGATTCAAGGCAAATCCCAACAAATCCTCCCTTGACTTGAATCTTCAAACACTTCAACAGTATTTGCAAAGCTAACACGCTTACTTTTTTCTTGTCTTTCATCATAGGGATCCCAGCAATAGAGCTTTCATCAAGCATGTACAAGTGATTTTTGATCTTATTCCCTTATAGAATCACATTACCATTCTTGTACACTTTCAACCAATTATTACTACCATAATATGTGTATCCCCGAGAAGCTAACTCACCCAAAGCAATCAAATTGTAGTGACAACTTGGTACATACCTTACATGACGAAGAATCCTAACAACACCATTGTGAGATTTAAGGCAAACACTCCCAATGCCTTGAATCTGTACATTTTCTTTGTTAGCAACCACAATATCCCCATACTTCTCATTCTCATCCAACTTCCATAAAGCAACTTCTATAATTGCAAACATGAACTGTAGCAGTTGAATCTAAAACTCAACCTTTATCACCTTTCAAAGTCTGAGTCTCATCCACACAAGTTGTCAAAATAACATCATCATCATCAGACATAACAGCAGTAGTATCATTTTTTTTTTCATCTGATTTTTTCTCATCATTCGCCCTTTTAAAAACAGTCATATCTCTTCTCAGTTTCCTGTAGCGTACTTGGATATGTCTCTTTTCACCACAATAATAACATTCTATATCACTGTAATCTTTGTCTTTTGACTTGGATCTTTCTCTTGATCCATCAATCCTCTTTTGAGTCCTCCTTCGATCAAAATCTTCTACAGCTAGTGTACTCCCCGAGGTGACGAGTTCTGAGGTCCCATAAACCTTTCATTCTCATGCAACAATACAGTCACATCATCCAACTTCAAAATAGACTTGCCTACCAACACAGTTTGAACTAAAAGCCTATAAGACTTGTGTAAAGATGACAGCAAAATTAAAGCCTTCTCTTCATCTTTTAACTTATCAACAGAAATCGCTAGCAATTAAGAAACCAATCTATTAAAGTCATTCAGGTGATTATGAAAACTCATACTTTCTTTCATCTTTAGAGAATACAGATCCATTTTCAAACATGATCTATTAGTCAACGACTTCGAAGTATAAATACCTTCAAGCTTATCCCACAAACTCTTCGGAGTACTCTCAGTCAACACACTGTATTTTACCTCTAAAGTTAGCGTCAATCTAATAATACTAACAGCTTTCTTTTGAATCATATTCCAATTAACGTCAAACATTCTCTCAGGTTTACTATTCTTTAATGCCTAATCCAATCCTTATTGTACTAACAAATCTTGAACCGTACTTTGCCATAACATAAAATTACTCTTTCCATCATATAACGAAATCTCAAACTTAGACATAGGCATACTAGACATACCTTCTTTAGACATCTTAAAACACTGCTTCACGATCTCTTGGGCTCACGAACATTAAACTTTGAACCTCACTCTGATACCACTCGTTAGGAAACACCACAGTTCTGATACCACTTGTTGAAAAAAAATAACACTCACACGCAGCAATCATACACAAAACAATAAGCTCAAATTAAAAATAAGAACACAAATATATTTGGTTCGGCCCAACTCAAAATAACCTACTCCAAACCTAATCCACTATCAAATAAATTTTTACAATTATGAGACTTTTAGAACGAGAAAAGTCTCCTAAAACTCTTACTCAAAACTTAACCCAAAACTTAATTACATCTTTTTAATAGCCTACTCACTTAGCTATTCTCTTGATGTCTAACTCTTTGAGATTATCAAACTAAAATCAAAACATCTTATTTATAAGGGTGAAATCTCTTATACTTTTACTAAACTCTCGATGTGAGATACTGGATAAATTTAAAACTCACTAACTTTCAACGTGAGATTATGAGATTTAAGGTAAATCCTAACAAAAACAATGGACTTTTAGTTTGTGTTCTACTAATAGTGGAGAGACCAAACTGTTACTACACATTATTCGTTGGGAGCTGTTTACCATCACTGCACTGGCAAATAGAATATGGTGTTGCATACTAGCTTCTGTTGTCCATTTATCTTCATGTATTTCCATTTTTCACATGGATTTCACTTGGCACTCTCCTTCCCGGGTCTGTATAACTGTGACTTGATCTGCTTTTGGGGGCCTTCTTTCTGTCTCTCTCTCTCGACAGATACATGAAATGCTACGTGTCGAATGTTGTACGTAGGTTTCATGATAAAATTGTCCACCAAACATCTCATTTTCTACGAGCTTTTGGGGTCATTGTTGACTTGTCGCTTGTTTAAAACCTTTTTGTTTTGTTCCCATGGATTTCAAGCTTTTAATGAGCTTGCTACGTTTCGACATGGTATTGGACGTTATGAAAGAACAACGACGAAAAAGAGTCAAACCTGTGGTTCCAACCAATGAGAAAACGACATGTCATGCTTGGTTTATAGAGGTCGAGCTCAGCTGATTATAAATAGGGGTGAGACAGAATTGAAGGACCAGTATCTGATGTAGCTGTGATCGATGGAGAGGACCTTACCAGTCCCTCCGTCCTTTATTTATATTCCCTGCGCAATAACCTGTCTAATTATTGAGTTTGTTTCTTTCCTCGTTTCTTCAGACAGCTAAATCATTTGTTAGCATATTTACAGTTACACCCAAATTTAGTTAGTAATAGTAATATACTTAAATCAAATATATATCGTTTTTGACTAAAAATCACTCAATATTTCATTCATTATAATTCAAATACATTCATCAGTAATAATAACAGATTCAACCATCTCACGGCACTCGTCAATCCAGCACTCGCTGTCTCTGCTTTCTAAAGCAAATTTTGCTAATCTATGAGCTACCTCATTAGCTTCCCTTCTAATATGTTTGCAAACTGATTCCTCGAAGCACTTAATTCTTTGTTTTACTTCTTCAACCAAATTATTTATTCTTGACCTGTTCTCATTTCGGTTAATTTGTTGTACGACATCCAAACCATCTCCTAAAATAATCTTGCTAAAGTCTCTCCCAGCAGCAAACTCTAGAGCTTTACAGGTTGCTATCGCCTCTATAGTTGCTGGGTCCATGTAGCCTTGCCCATGTAGCGCCATAGCAATTGAACAATCAACGGAATCAAGAAGCAATTACTTAAGAAAATAGGAGAAAAAGTAAGCTAATTGAAGTTTGTAGCTGAAATTTGGAGAGCTTCTTGTGAATTTGAAAAGCAAAAATGGAGTTGATCAAGATTGAAGGCATATTCAAAGCTAATAGATTTATGGCCACCAGATTTCAATTGCTCATTTCCTTGAGCTATAGAGTTTTTTCTTTTGCTAAAATCCATCGCACAAATTAGGTATAATTCTTTGCCTTTTTTATTCTATGTATATTTATTTATTCTATTCTATTCTATTTATTTGTAAATACATGTTCTTTTATTCTTTTATTTTTAATTTTGTTATTTTATTTTTTATTAGTATATAATTTCTTATTAAGAAATAATAATAAAAAATTAAAAGACATTTTGATGTAAGTTTTGATAATGTGAATTTAAAATTTTAAATATTTTTTTGTATAATATTTTTTATGAGTATTTTGAAATTAATATTTGTAAATAAATTGTATTATCATAAAATATTTAATAAATTCGAAGATAGAATCTCTTCAAGTAAACAACAAATTTATTTTGAATAATTTTTAGACGAGAAAAAAAATTTTAGTGAAAATCTAAACATTTTTTCAATATTTAAATATCAAAATTAATAAAAATAGGGAATAAAAGCCATTTGAATTAAGGCTTGATTAGATAACATGTGACTAATTTGATACTAATTTGTGAGCATTGTGAGGGTTTTAAAACCTTCTTTGACATAACTAACTCTCGAACCTGAATCTGTTGATATAGATCAGAACTTATTCTTTTTAGAAATCCTTAGTCAAGTTTAGGATAGCCTTAAAAAATATAAATTCATATAGGTGGCCAATCACATCTAAATAAAAAAATATTTGTAGCGACTTTTTTTTTTTTTATGTCTAATAGATAGGTTCTCGAATTTGAATGTTATGATAGTTTAATGACTCTACTTGAAATTTTAGAGAATCAAGCCATTATTTAATAATGTGTTATCCTAAACCTTGCTTTGATG